AGTAAGCAGTGTGCTCTTGCAGCTCAGAAAGCTGGGCTCCATCAGAAGAGGGGTGGCCAGTATTGACAGGGAGGTGATTGTCCCCCTCTTCTCTGCTCTTGTGAGGCCCCATCTGCAGTACTGTGTCCAGGTCTGGAGCCCCCCATACAAGAAAGACAGGGAGCTGTTGGAGAGGGTCCAGAGGAGGGCCATGAAGATGATCAGGGGGCTGGAGCATCTCCCCTATGAATACAGGCTGAGGGAGCTGGTCTTGTTCAGGCTGGAGAAAAGAAGGCTGTGGGGTGACCTCTTAGGTACTGAAAGTAAAGTACCTTAGGTACTTTCAGTACCTAAGAGGAGGGAATCAATTCTTTGAAAGGATTGATAACAGCAGAACAAGGGGAAATGGTTTTCAAGTTGAGGGAGGGAAGACTGAGGTTGGATGTCAGGGGAAGTTCTTTACAGAGAGAGTGGTGAGGTGCTGGAACAGGCTACCCAGAGAGGTTTTGTGGATGCCCCATCCCTGGAGGTGTTCAAGGCCAGATTGGATGGGGCCCTGGGCAGCCTGGTCTACTAGTAAATGATTAGTGGCCCTACCTGTGATGGGAGTGATGGAGCTTGATGATGCTTGAGGTCCCTTCCGATCCTGGCCATTTTGTTATTCTATGACCTGGACAAGGGGAATGAATCACAGGATCATAGAATGGCCTGGGTTGAAAAGGACCACAATGATCATTGAGTTTCAACCCCCTGCTGTGTGCAGGGTCGCCAACCACCAAACCAGGCTTCCCAGAGCCACATCCAGCCTGGCTATGAACGCCTCTAGGGATGGGGCATCTACAACCTCCTTGGGCAATCTGCTCCAGTGCATCACCATCTCTGAGTGAATAATTTCCTCCTAATATCTAGATCAACCTAGATCTCCCATCTTAGTTTAAAACCATTTCCCCTTGTAATATCACTGTCAACCCATGTAAACAATCATTCCCCCTCCTGTTTACATGCTCCATTCAAGTATTGGAAGGCCACAATGAGGTCTCCCTGGAGCCTTCTCTTCTCCAATCGAAACAAGCCCAGTTCCCTCAACTTTTCTTCATAGGAGAGGTGCTCCACCCCTCTGATCATCTTAGTGGCCCTCCTCTGGACCTGCTCCAAGAGGTCCACGTCCTTCCTGTACTGGGGACTCCAGGCCTGGACGCAGTACTCCAGATGGGCCTCAGAAGAGCTGAGTAGAGGGGGCAATCACCTCCCTCTCCCTGCTGGCCACTCCTCTTTCAATGCAGCCCAGAACACAGTTTGGCCTTCCGGGCTGCAAACGGACACTGTTAGCTCATGTCCAGCTTCTTCTCCACAGACCCCCAAGTCCTTCTCCACAGGGCTGCTCTCAAGGAAATCTTCGCCCAGTTTGTATAACTACCTGGGATTGCTCTGGCCCAAGTGCAATGCCTTGCACTTGGCCTTGTTGAACCTCATTAGGTTCTCAAGGTCCCACTTCTCCAGTTTGTCCAGGTCCTTCTGGATAGCGTCTCTTCCCTTCAGTGCATGGACCACACTACTCAACTTGGAGTCATCTGCAAACTTGCAGAGTGTACTCAATGAGGGTTGAGCGTACTCAATTGAGGGTGTACTCAATGCCATTGTCTATAACACTGATGAGGATGCTGAAGAGCACTGGTACCAAGACCAACCCCTGAGGGACACCGCTTGTGACCAGCTTCCACCCTGAAACAGAACCATTGATCACAACCCTTTGGCTGTGTCCAGCCAACCTATTCTTAATCCACCATGCAGTCCATCCTTCAAATCCACCAATCTCCAAGATTCTCATCCAAGAAGGATGTAGTGAGGGACCATGTCAAAGGCTTTGCAGAAGTCCAGGAAGATGACATCCGTCGCCTTTCCCCCATCTACCTATGCCATTACTCCATCATGGAAGACCACCAGATTCATGAGGAACGACCTGCCCTTGGTGAAGCTGTGCTGACTGTCTCAAATCACCTTGGATCACCTCACTGAGTACAACCTCAGTAAGTTTGCAGACGACACCAAGTTGACAGGAAGTATTGATCTGCCTGGGGTAAGAAGGCCTTATAGAGAAATCTGGACAGGCTGGATAGCTGGCATGAAGCCAATGGGATGAAGTTCAACAAGACTAAGTGCTGGATCCTGCACTTCGGCCACAGCAACCCCAGGCAATGCTACAGGCTTGGGGCAGGGTGGCTGGAAGACTGTGTAGAAGAAATGGACCTGAGGGTGCTGGTCAAAGTTTGGCTGATCATGAGCCAGAAGTCAAGAAGGCCAACAACACTTTGGCCATCAGTGCTTCCAGCAGAAGCAGGGAAATGATTTCCCTCTGTACTCAGGCCTAGTGAGGTCACATCTCAAGAACTATGTTCAGTCTTGGGCCCCATACTACAAGAAAGACATTGAAGCTCTGAAGCCTGTTCAGAGAACGGCAACAAATCTGGTGAGGAGCACAAGTCTTATAAGGGGAAACAGAAGGAACTGGGATTTTTTTATTCTGGAGGAGGCTCTAGGGAAACCTTATCACTCTCTACAGCCACTTCAAAGGAGGTAGTGGTGTGCTGGGGGTTGGCCTTTTCTCCCACTTATCTAGTGATATGACTAGAGGGAATAGCTGCAAGTTGTGCTGGGGAGATTCAGGTTATGGATGTTATGGATGTTAGGAAAAAATTTCTCTTCAACTGCAGTTAGCAGTTAGGCTCTAGAATGGGCTGCCCAGGCAGGTGGTGGAGTCACTCTTCCTGAAGGTGTTCAAGAAATGTTTAGATGTTGTTCTAACGGGCATAGGTTAGTGGGAAATGTTGATAGGAAGCGGATGGTTGGACTGGATAATCTTGAACGTCTTTTCCAACCTTGTTGATTTTATGATTCCATGAGCACTGGCCTCTCTGTCAGTGTTGGAAGAACACCTTTAGTGTTGGAAGAACTTCTCTAGCCAAGAGGACCTGGTGTGCCTTGTTGAGGATAACTCAGGTTAACTAACAGGATACAAACCTGTTATTATCATAGTTACCTTCATGTTTCACAGTCATCTTGTTTGTGACACATTCGGTACTGACTTTCTTCTTCTTTCGGAAAAACACACGCCTTCTTGTTTCTGTTCGAATACACTCCATTGATTCATCCACTGACAGACCTAGAAGTACAAAAGCAGCAGCTGCATCACCATAGATCTGTTGCATCACAGGTCTCCCTGCTCACTCATTTCTTTCTGACCTCTTTACTACACTGAAGCTCCTGATCCACCATTGTCTCTACTGCCAGGGTGTGTTCTGCTCCTCATCAAACCGGTTCCATCAGGTGCTGAATAGACTCTCCTAAACTCAGCCTATTCCTGTTTAGGTATTTCTCCTATATCACCTTTTCTGTTGTATCTGATAACCCTTCCTTCTTCTGGCGCACCATGGAGCAGTCCTTTGCTGTTCAAAATCAAAACCCAGTCACCCAAGGTGCTACTCTGCAGAGTGGGTGGGAACAGCAAACCTTCATCTGAGCCCAGGTCATACCAACGGGCTGCTCTGCCTGGAAAAGTAATTACCACCTATTCCTGCAGCACTGTGAACAAAGACCACCAATATTATAGAAGAAGACATTGCTCCTGAAGGTACCCAATTCCCTGGCCACAAACACCAGTAGAATGCATCATACTTACCTATAGGCCCTGTAGGTACCCTCCCGTGCCCATACAAGTTTCAGTGGTGACATTAAATATCATTGCTATTAACCAAGAATTTCTCCTTCTGTAATATTCTGTTTTCATTTTGACAATCTAGCAGTCATGGATTAAGTTTCAGACTATTTTCTAGTCAATATCAGCAGTTCTAAAACTGTAGCCCAGAAGGCGACATATCTCTCAGACCTCAGTCCCACAGTGGCGTATATTGGAAAGCCTTCTTGGTGTCAAAGGATTTGGACTTGAAGGTCCTAAATACTGTCACGAACACAGTGACATTTACCAATTAAAGAAGATCTTCAATTTTTTAAAATAAAGCGTGGAAGTTCCTTCTTGCTTTATATTTGAGCAGTGTGAGTAATTCCTCTGTCTACGCAAATCTAAGGGATTCTTTTTCTGTTAGTTGTTGAGTTTTCTGTATGGTGGAAGACCTAAAAATAGAAAATGGTAAGAAAAGTAGTAAACAAATTGATAAAGATTACATACCTGAGTTCTTGAGTTCCTCGGAACTATACTGGTAAAGAATGTCGTAGGAACCACCCATCCTTCCAGAGGTGTAGTAATGAGTGCCAAAGTCATCAAATATTCTACTGTATAAAGCATAGTTGTACTCCAGAGGCAGCTGGTTTAGAGCTTTTAGAAAGACATCTGAGAGCTGCAAATTTGACTCCTTCATGGTGAAGTTTGCAACAGAGATGACTTTATGGACTCTAATAAAGTTGGAATTCTAGATATAAAATTAAAATAAAATAAAATAAAATAAAATAAATTAACATAATCTTGCTGCTTTCATGGGTAGTTGATTGCAGAAAACAGAGTGGCCAAGAATATGATCTGAGCTACATTGAAAACCTATTTCCTCTAGTCCATCATGATGCTTTAACCACGATTAAACTCACATAGACTAGCCCTGGAATTTCCAAGCATCTTGTGAGGTTCTCAGGGACAACACTCATTACTGCTTTGCATTGTGGGAGTGTATAGGATTTCAGTGTGAGTTAAGAATTCCTAAGCAGTGGACAAACAGAAAGTAAAATGACTTCTGCTATAGCAAATACACCAGTAATTGATAAGACAGGCAAAAAACTAGGAGGAAAGGCTGAAGCTAGTAAGTATCTGTGAGCTGTTCGTAATTAATCTTGAGTGGGTATTTTGGATACTACCTCATTATTGTGAGGTCTCAAACGTTGTTTATCAGTCTGCTAAAACTAAACTTACAGGAATAAAGTTTTAATTCAGTGTCAGGCTGTTAACACACAAGGTCTGGGGCGTGATATGGGTGGAAAAAAAAAGCAAGAAGTTCAGAAACTAGAAGCATCACCTCTTACATTCAGAAAACTCATGTTTTTGAGACAGCTAATTTTTTTTGTGTTCAATGTTGAAGGTTGTTAATGAGAGAGTTCAACTAAAAAGAGAAGAGAGAAAAAGAATACTGAATGGAGAAACTGGTAACATGGCAAAAAAAAAGAAGTAACAAAAAAAAACACCAAACAACAAACCTGAAGCAAAGAGATCAAGAGCAAAAGGGGTGATGGGAAAGAGCACAAAATGAGCAATCTGCAGAAAGAAGAAAATCATTATAAATAAAATTGATACTGATCTATATATAGGTTCTGCTGTTGAGTTTTCATATTGATAGGTTGATTCTGCTCCACTTCTGTCTTCAGGTTCATGTGGCATAGAAGTCATAAGACTGCATTAAATATGGAGCTTCTTCAGCCAAGAGTCAGCAACATAACATGTAAGCTGGACCACAGCACTGAGATGTGCACAGCACTCTCCATTTCAGTGCTCTCATTTGCATGCTGGAAGACAAACTAAGGGCACTCAGCTTTCTGCAGCAGTGAGAATAAAAATGGAAGAAATAGGATATATAATATTCCCTGGACTGTACTCTGGTCCTTAAATACCCTGAGGTAATATCATTTCTCGGAAAATGACTACCAGGTGATTTGGGCTCAGTTTTAAGCCGTACCATATCACATTTCAGCTATGATGCACAAAATTACAGGCAATTTTGGCAAACATTAAATTCTAAATGCTCAGGTGGATATGATGCTCCCCCATACCAAAAAATATTTTTTTTCTTGACTTGCACCACGCATTTATATTCTCTAATATTCAAAGCATCTTAAGTGCTTTTCTTACTAGCAATTTCCCTTACAGTTGTCAAACCCAGTGACTTCTTTATTAAATCCCCAAGGCTTGAACAACCTTGGAAACTTTTACTTGAAAAAGAAATTCAGGAAACTGAATTCCAAAGTCTCCAGTTACCCTGGTCACATGTCTAAACATACTGGTAACCCCTGGCAACTGTGGCAATCTTTATCCATGAATACCAGGTATTAATACAAAATGCAATGCTGTAGATTGAGGTGATTATTCCCAAAGATATTCAGTCAAAATCCTGGTCTAAATCAAGTGCAGATACTCAAATAAGGTCAGATATTATATAAAAACTACTTAACTGACAAAACAAAAATCATCCAGACACAAGCTGAGCTGGCCTGATGAAACCAATAGTTTTAATTAATTAGAACATTTCTCACAAAACAGACTCTCACTAGAACGTACTGGTTAATTAAATAATGTTTATTTCCAAGTAATGCAAGCACAGAATCTTGCCTCTCGTCCCCACGGATGGGGATGGCTTCATATCTTTCAGGCCTCAATTTTTTAATTCAAGCCATCCAACTCAATGAGCTGCAGCCAAGAATATTAGAAGCATGAGCCAATGGGTTGGGTGCAGAAACTTCAGGAGTCCCTTGGTGTCTTTGAATGCCCGGAACACACATGCTATCAGGCAGTTACCAGTGTGCCAATTCTGAGATAACTTCTCTATCTCAAAGGAAAATGGAGTTTGAAAAAATTTATGAAATTCAGAAAAAAAAAAGAAGCAGAAGAAGAAAATGGTAAATAAAACTAATAACATGTAGCATAATGAGCAAGATTAATCGACAAGTTTATGATGTAATGGGTAATACAGTAATAATTAAATAATATTATTATTAAAAATAATATTAAAGTTTCACTTTATGAGTCTTTCCTTATATTTAGTAGAGAAGAGTAACAGCTGGTAACTGGGGCTTCCTTTAAGCCCTGCTGGAACACTACTGAGAGCACTCACATTTATGTAAAAATCCACTGAGTTTCTTTTAACTGATACAAAATGAGGGCAACTAGCTGAGATGCAAGGTTCTGTAAATCTGTCATTGTCTATAGATACACAAGATGTATCCCAGCCTAAATGCTTGTTTTGATGCAAACAGAAGACCAGAAAGGGGTCATTACTGTCATGAAAATTATTTTAAAATTTGAATACAAGAATATGTACTAAAGAGCCTAAAGATTAGCTTAACAGTAATAATAATAATAATAGTAGACAAACAAAAATAAGCATCAGAAACATATTCATATTTCCTCTTAACAATATGGAAAAATTCAAGACCTTTCAAGTCACTTAGGCCCTACAGTGACTCTGTGGTGCTCATGTGAAGCTATTCTGCTTGCAGTTTGAAAATCTGGTCTGAATTTGACCTCCCAGATTGTTAGTTCTCACTCATTGTCAGTGATCTTTTTAAACTACTTTTACTTTGTAAGTGAATATTTTGAATTTATAGATTTGTTTCATATACATATGTAAGTAGATATCTGCTGTTGTATACACCTATAAAGAAACTGCATACAGGTAGGCACAGGTGAATGCAGAGGCTTCCTGTAACATGTTAAGGAACCTGAAGATCAAAATTAAAAGTCTTGCCATGGACACAGTCAGGAGGAAATAAGCCATCTACAGCCAACAGCAGACCAAGTCATCAGCTTTCTCATGCATGTTTCTGAAATTTTATGACAATAAAGTTCAAAACAAGTTCAAGTGCAATAAAAATTCCTCAAGAAAGTTTCATTGATATTCACATTTCTTTTCATAGTTTGTGACTGGATTTAAACCTTTAAGAAGACACCATTCTATCAAAATAAACTCACCAATTCTACAGAAGAAAAACTTGATACATATAATTGCATCAGAATGACAGCAAATAGAATTCCAGTAGATGGAACTTAAGCAAAGATTATTGCAGACTAGAAATTGTGGACTACTTAATCAGTCAAGTTACTTAACAATTAAGACAAGCCTGTAAGCTAGTAATAAATCTGTCATGAAAACATTAAAATTATAACAGATGTTTTTGTAAAAGATTTACTATAATTTTATTACAACTCCTCGGTTTCAACAAGCTTTAATTTTGAACAGTTTTATGACCTCTGCCAGGCGTAATTACAGAAAAAAGAATAGTTGATCCTTTACTATCATTAAACTCTAGAATTATTATATTTCACAGTATTTGCCTGAATTAGAGAGGCAGAATTTTATGGGAAGTAGTTGTCTGTTCTCAGAAACTTTTCTCTTGGTGTGTTATTTCTGGGATTATTTTTGTGACTCTGTGCAGCTTAACAGAAAGTATGTTGCAACCAGGAACATCCTGTAGAATCAGGAGAGGACCTTCTCGTTTTTAATTCTAGTAGTTTTGCAAAATGTAATCCCAATACACCTTGTTAGTGGATAACTTGTGGTAGCTCAGCCCCCTAAACAAGAAGATGGAAACTCAAAGAAAGGAAGAAATTCATGTCACCATTCAATTACCTTTTCATGTGAGGCTTCAATGGCTTTCTTGAAGGAGGAATGTGATGTGATTTGAACTTTTCTTTTCCTTGAGAATAGACCTGGTATGCCAGATCTTCTCCGAGATGAATGAGAGGATGTACTGCTTCCCACATCACCATCACTCAGAGGCGTTAAATCCTTGTAGAAATCTGATTTTACATCATCCTCTTCATCTGTTACCTAGAGATTCAGTAAACCAAAATCTATTTGCCCTAATAACTTGAAAGGGAGCAAAGTATTAAACAATGAATTCTTGGCTTCTTCTGGAATAGGCATGTCTAATGCTTGGGAACATAGCAGAAAGCTAAAAAGCTATTATAGGGTAAGGAGATGGCTATACAGTAGGCAGTTATACAAGGCAAAAAAAACCAAAACAACCAACAAACAAACAAACAAAAAGTCATGTTCTTCTAGAAATCCCCAGTCCCCTTGCCCTAAAGCTTAAGAACAATTTTCCTTGAATGTTTCAAAATGCTTTTCAAAGACTCTCAGACCTGCATATTATGTCCACACTAAAAGTAAGTCTCTATTTGTATTGTATGATGGTGTGTTTTTCACTTTCTGCTTGATTCCCTTCTAGAAGAATGAGCAGGTTTTATTCAGAATGGAGTCAGAGCATACCTGTAGTGTAAGTCACCATATTGCAGAATGGACTAGAAGTAAATGAATAGTAATAGAGAGTGAACCTACCAGTTAACATTGGCAAGACTCAGTTAGGCTGTTGCGCTAAGCAGCGATACTAAGGCATCTTGAACGTCTGTTCAAAAGTGACTCATTTCCCATAATTAAGGCAAATCCCTTGCAAGATCTGTGACCTTTAGATTCATTTTTTACCATTTCAGGCTTACTTAATAAGGATCTTTTTTACTTTGTAGGATCTGTGAAGGACTTCGGGCAGTGATGTCCACTCCCCTGATCCAGTTCTGTTCTCCAAGTAAACACATGCTTTTGCATTAAAATGCACTGCAGCTCCAAGCAGAAAGCTGGTTCAGTGACATTTCTATATCAAAAACTACTCTAAATGTTGAAAAATGGAGATGCAAGCTCAGGTGAGAATCACAAGCTCGTAATATTTTTGCAGATGGACATTAGTTATCACATAGACAACAGAGCTTGAAAAAATTGGGCAAGCCAAGAATTGTTTTCCCTACAGAATATTTCTGTACACAGTACTTCTTCAATGCCATTGACCAAACCAGACAGTGTTGGAATTTGCTTTGTTCAGCTGTGCCTTTTAAAGTAATATCTCACAATATTCATGTTAATAATCAACAGTTCAGTCTCTTCCACTCCTTCAACTTTTTTCATGTCCTGCATCCCTTTTTTCCCAATACTGTAGCCATTTGCTTCAGAGGGGGCCTTCCAGGATGTATGCCGCTAGATACTACACCTCAACCATAATATCCCAATTATTTTATAAATATCAGTGTTTAAAAGTCTGAAATATCCTGCCTGAAAATCACATTCCAAGATTTGAGGAAAAATAAAAAACAATGTCCTTTTTTCTTGACCTGTCCTGCAAGACTTCTTTCCAGACTTTTAACCTTCTGCCTTGCAGACTCTTTACCCGCCACTTCTTACTGATGGTCGGAAGGGCTGGTCAGGGGACAAGCAGGACTGAGAGGCTGAGACAGCTGATGGAGGAGCTGCTCTCAAAGTTGCAGATGCCTCAATGGGAGGCATGTGCTGGGAGAGCTGTTGGTACTGGAAGGATGCATCAGTAATGCTAAAACGAGCTTGGGCTTTACCAAGCCACTGGCTGGATTATATTGTGGTTGGGAACAAGAACCTGCATACCAAGTCGCAGCAGAGGCATGGCCACAATCATAAGGAAGCAGGAGAGAAGCTGAGATCAATTTGTGTTGATTCTGAGTAAACACTCACTGTGAAAGTGAGAGAAAGGTACAAGTAGAGACACCTAACACAGCTCGGTTTTTTTCCCATTTCTACTCTTCAGCTGAAGCTCTTTCAGGCCTCAGCAGGCTGGGAAATCTTGTCTTCATAAGACTTCTTAAGACTTCAGCATATAACTTGGGCTATGTTTATGAAAATGTTTTATTTTTTTGCTAAAATTTGCTTCTAGAAAGTACCTGGAAGCTGACAGTCTCCAGATTTGCAGGCACGCGATACGATTTCCTTGTCTCATTGCGTCTCACTGTTCTGCATTCTCCTCCATTGAACGAGTTGCCAAGGACTTCCCCTCGGCTCTCTCCTGACAGAATGTGAAATCTAACAACACCACCAACAACAAAAGCAATTTCCAGAAATTAAATGGCCTCAGAAAGACATAAATAGGTATCATTTGTTGTGTACAGCTGCGTCAAAGATGCTTTATGTTTGAATGAGAGGCTGTAAGTGTTAAGGCTATGCTAGTGCTTTGAATGAAATTTCTTCATAAAAATTTCTGATTTACCCTGAATTCACCTGAAAAATTATACAACCAGGCTATAACACCAAGGTCAGCATAAGACTATCTTGGGCAACCACTGACTCGAGAAACACAGTAAAATGGCACTGACAAATAACATGCTGCTCTCCAGTTCAGCCAAAAGTGTTTGTTACCAGAGTGCCCTGAGTTCATTCAGAAACACAGCACTTGGGGCAGGCATGGCTGGTATTGCAAGAGATGTATCAGGCACAACCAAACATCTGTAGAGGAACATCCTCCAAATTTCTGAAATGCTTTGTAATAACTGAGCTGGAATTTGCCAGTAAGTGGTGTTCTGGTTGTGGTGAGGGTGGGCAATGTCCCTCACAGCAGTGCCCCCTGATGGCTTCTGCAGTAGGAGTAGAGCAGAGTAGGACTGCCAGATGCAGTAAGTCCAAGCCTGGCTGTTTAGTTACATTCTTATAACCTCTTACTACTCTTCATTTAAGAGGTCATGTTTTAATGGTTTACTCTCACATGCAAATTTGACAATTGTCTTTTTTAATGTAAGTTGCTGATAAGCAGTATAATGCCTGTGAAAAAAACAAAGCTAGCTTACCCACTGCCGATTAAATGCACACCTGGGATGCTCTCAAACTTTCTGCTACACACCATCTTTTTCCTCCCACAATGTCTTTCATCAGAGTTGTCCCCACAGTCATTTTCTCCATTGCATTCCAATTTTTTTGCAATACAGCGACCTGGACAGAGAAAAAGCAGCAGCAAGAGGACATATGCAGTGATTCTTCACATCTCAATGCAAAAAAGAGCAATTTCTTTCTCTAGCAACGGTGTAAGCTTGCAACAGGAATTAACATAGCAAGGCACTTCTAAACATACATTACTTCAATAAAAATATTTGTCTCTTTTCTACCAGTTTGTATTAATTTGAAGGCATGATGACCAAAGTTAAGGTTTAGCAAAAGGAAATTCTGATAAAACTATCAAATCTGATCAGGTATATTTAAAATTAAGCAAGAACTACCAAGACAATGATTTTAAAAAAATTAATAAAAACAGTGCAAGTTTGATTTCAAACAAACTATAAGGATATGTTTGTACACGTAAAATTTGTGCCAAAAAAAATCTCATTGGAACAGTGCTACTTTCTAGCAGCCATAATGATGCTACCATTCTACAGTACAGATTGCACAACCCTGAATTCCTTTTAACTGAAGAAGAAATGTAAATATTAAGTTTCCATTAAACATAAAATCCTCAGCTCCCTGCCCCTTTTTCCTAAGGAATACATGGACAACCTGGAATAGAATACATGCATGGAATACATAGGGACAACCTGGAATTTTTTAATTTTTTTTATATGTCTCAAACAGTAGCTATTGTCTACTGAATAATGCTGAAGTTAAGCTATGATGACTATTGTTACCATTCTCGCACTGGAATTTATTCTTGCAGTCCATATCCACGATATTGCAGAGCTTAGCTGGAAAGCATGGTCGGGATTGCACCAGTGGTTCGGTGCAGGCCTGGCCTCCAAACTGGGATGGCCGCAGGAGTTTCCGGACACGAACCTGGGGGCAGAAAAATAAAAACTTGGTGTTCAGTGAATGGGAAATTTTTTCCTGTTCCTTATCAACTTAGTTGAAATAGAAATACTATGATGGGGCATGCAATCCCCATCCCATTTGGCTTGGCTCTCTTTCAACGAGGCCTCTTGTCAGAGAATTGAGCAGGAGGGAATATGTATTTCTGAAATTTTCTACTGTTAAATAACCAGGAGTAATATCTCAAGCTCATTTGTTTTTCTTTCCCCAAATCAGAACCCACCTTGCAGAACACTGATGCTGAATGTGCTAGAAAATCATTTCAGTAACGTTTTCCACCCCTGTTCCAGGGGTTGCAGATGAAACTTATCTGCCTTTGACCGAACTGTTCTTTCCCTAAGAAAGAGCAGGAAAAATTTCCCCAAATGACATACATTTCCTCACAGACTTCATTACATCCCTGCCTCTAGAAAGACCTTGAAGTCAAAAAATTGAATACGATCCAAAAAATAAATAAATCTGTAACTGGGTAACTATGATCAGAGGGAACAAAGAGCAACACTTTCGAAAGGCTTTTGACTCAAGACAACCATTTCTTGTACTCTGTTTGGAATCTACAACACACGTTATATTGTTTGTGTGAGCTTTAACCTCTTCATCATTCCCATTCACTGAGAGCTTAACTACAATGGTCTTCACATTTATCTTGAGGGCACATCCTCCATTCTGAAGGCTGTTCGTATTTATGAAGGTCAGAAGTAGTAATCTTAGTAGTTTGGAGGAAAAATATGTTCAGCTTACAACCCCCGCCCCGGTTTTTTTTTTAAAGCAGCAAATACTTTGCATGAATATTTAAAGCTAATAAAAATGAGCTAATAAAAATGAGCTTTTACACAGGGTCGTGTAGGTAGGGAACCTAGAAATTTAATTAGAGGATATGGATTACAAAAATGAGTTTAAAGAGAGCAATAAGAACCTTTCCATCTCTGGCAGTTTATTTGCTGTCTCCCATTGTTTCTCCCCATTGTGCTCTCACTCACCACCCTGGCTGTAAGTAGTTTCCTAGAACTGCTACTTCATGGCCCCCAAACTCCAAAACATTTTTTGTTCTGCACTGGCATCAAGATAGGTATGTATACATGTAAAGATACACATACACATACCTAACAGGCTTTCTGACAGTGCTGTTCAGATGTGCATTTCAGAAGCTGCACAGGACCTTCAGAAGAGCTTTAGGCTATGTCGGCATGGACACTTAGAGTGATCTATGATAAGCCTTGGACTCATCAGCTATGTAACTATCCTCAAAAGCTCCCTAGAACCTTGTGTTTGCCTGGGCTTTTTATGTCAGTCCCACCTGATGCTGTTCTTTCACCTGTTCACTCTCTGCTAGGGTAGGTACATGTAACTCCTAACCCTGCCATCAGGGAATCAGCACAAGCCCAGAGACTCAGCCACAGGAGGATTTTGTCCTACAGATATTAAGCATATCCATCTGGGTTTTGTGTAGACTATTAGGGTTGCAGAAAAGGTGCTAAGGATGTCTCATCAGCAACTTCAGACTGATCCTGACTATGATACTGCATTCCTTAACAGTGCTAGTTATGATTTGCCAATTATCTCTTTTCAGTAGATGACTTGATCCTATTATCTTTCATTTTCAGAACATATAAAATGTCATGCTGTGTGAAAGATTCCTTGACATGCTCCTGTTGAAACAGGAATGCAAACTCTACAGCTTAATTTATCTCTTATGTAGAAAACTCATCTTTAATAATGACAGTGGCACTTTCAAAGCAAGTTCTCATAAATGGATTTGCACTACTAAATTGCCCCTTTCTATTTTGATATACTTATCTTAACTTGTTCCCTCCAGCTCCTACTGTTATAATTTATAACAGTTATAACCTTGTTAACTTAAACTGTCATTTTGCAGAACCAACTTCCTTGAAATCAAATATCTTAAACCAAGAAACTAGGCACAATTTCTTGCATTTAACATGCATAATACATTATCTACCTACTTGTTTTTTAATGCATGGGTCACATTCTGACCAAGAGCTGAATTCTCCAAGCTGGCAATTGATAGGACAGGTTTGTTGGTTACATGCACGAGATTCCTGCTTGGTGCACAGCTGGTCACAGAAGTTTTGGTTATAATATTCATCCATTTTTATTTGCCTAAAAAAGGTCACTGAAAGAGTTACACTGGAAAGGAAACAAACTGTAGATTTCTATAACTGTAGGTTAAGGCTCATAATGCTTTAAGTCAATAAAAGCTTGAATGGTGGTGGGTAGATCTGGAGTGATGCTTGAAAGTAAAATCTATATACACCTTAAGCCAGGAATGAAATAAGGGATTTCTTGTAAATTTAGAGTATGCTCCTGAACTGCATATGGTTTTGTGCAGTTGTATCTTTAGTTAACTATGACTGCAGAATTATTTGTACAAGAAGCAGCTTTCTGTCAGCTTGCCATGCTGGAGCTCATATCTTCCAGAGCGCTGCTTGGTGTTGGGCAGAGCTCCCAGCGTGGGCACTGGGCACCAGCCCTGTTCACAAGAGCTGGCTGCTCAATGCTCACTGCTGGCAGGGCCACCCGAGGACCTGGCTCTTCTGTCTGTGTGTGTGCAGAAATAACAGGTTTGTTTGGAAGCACTGCAATATTCTATACACAACTTTAAACCTTGCAATTAGAACCAAGTCATTTGCTGGACATTACCATTTTTCTTTCTAGATATATTATGGATGCTGAAGCATCAGATCCTGATCAGATCCTTCCTGAAAGTATTTTTTTTTTCCACATAAAAATTATACCCATAAATGCAGTGAGAAGATTTGTCCATACCTGTGCCTTGTCTGCGTGCCATAATTGCAGGTTTTTGAACAGCTGGACCATGACCCCCATGGATAATGTTCACAGTAGCACCCTTGGCAGCTCCCAAACACCAGGCTCAGCAGGATCAGCTGTATTAGCACTGCCTTCTCCATAGCAGAGGTGTTTACAGACAGTAAAAGCTCTGGAGGAACTGTAACATTCACAGTTACTGTATCTTAGTGACTAGTCTCTTCTGATCTGCTGCTTCTATAAATCTATTTTGCAATACAAATATTTCATCAAGCAGTGTACCTGGAATGTAGTGATAATGCATGAGAGAATATTAATTAAATTATTGTAATGTGGAGGGATGCAAGTCAAAGGCATATGATCTCTTATTCAGTATTAATCATGACTGCATGTTAATTCTATTTAAGAAACTGCTAAGCGATTTTCTTGTATGCGACAAATAAAGACCTGCTATTACTCTTCATTGTTCCTATGTGTTCTGAAAAACATTTTCTACGAATACAAATGAAAGTATGAATAAGCGTTTTTGCTATTGGGCATGTAAAATAATGGAGACTTAACACTATCTGGCTACAAATTCATTTTCATCCCTTTTTGCCTAACTGCTTTGCTGCAGTGAATCCTTTCTTCAGATCTTCTGTTACTCTTACTCCTGATGACTGACTGCTGTTTTTTTCAGGAAAAGCATTTATTCACTGAAAAATTGCAAAATATTTTTTCCTTCATGCTGTCACTGAACCAACAACAAACTGTAAAGGCTGGTACAGCAGAATGTAAGCAGAGCGTATAAAACATTCTGTTTTGCCACGAAAGAACAATAAAAAATAGAAAATGTAAAAACAGATTATCTCATTTTGAAAATGATTAAATGAAATGTAAAATCACTATTTTATTTTTTAATTACATAGCCCATGCTATTCTGACTTCTATAGCTTGCTGTGAAAAATAATTTTTTGTGGAGTGAAAATATTGCTTGTTCTTTTCAGCAAGAAAGCCAGTTGATCTTCTCAGTACTGTAGCAGTGAGGGCTCAGTGTGCTTTTTATGCAGCCATTCAGTCAAGAAGCTTCTTGAACAGTTAAGTGTAATCAACAGAGTATAATCAAACTGAAGGCAGAGAAGACAGCAATCTTGCCAGTGAACCAAAAGGAGAGCAAATAGTTGATCTTTTTTTCCTTACCTGGGCTCGTGGCTCCTTGTACCAATATTGCTAACTTAGAAGAGCGATGAAGAAGTCCTACAAGGCTCTCTCAATTACTTTGTTCATTCCTCCAGAGTGCTCTCCACAGAAAATACTCTCATTTGGTAGTGAAGTTCCAACCAATCAGTACATCTGAACTGCATCAGCAACTAGACAAATGTAAGTACCTGATAGAGATAAATTTAAGCTTTCGAAGAAAAGATACAAGCAAACAAACAAACAAACAAACAAAAACAACCAAAAAAACCCGAAACGCTTCCCCACACATCAACCTATATACACTGAAGCCAATAAAAATCTTCCTTATCACTGTAAAACTCCTGGCTGCCGATTGTCATGACCTCAGCATGGCTTGCTGCAGGCTTTCAAATGAAAGGTTGGAGGTTATATTTGATCTGGTTACTAGTTAATGAGGACAGATTCTGTCTGGTGACAGGAAGGGTCAGCCTTGCACAGCCTCTCTACAGGCAGACCCTCAGCAGCAGGCATTTTCCAGAGAACTATGCAGGAACATCTCTCCTCACAAACATACACGCCCAATGCAAGAAGATGCACAAACATTTATATTAGGCCACAGTGGCTGGATACACTGCAGGGCTTCTCGCAGTGCCTGGCAGGGGTGCACCACTTCTCTGTTCTGAGGGCAGCTGATGATCTCACTCCTAAACTCTGTTCAAGGAAGGAAACCCAGAACTCCAAAGAGCAGAAGGGAGGGAGCAAAAATCATAACGTTCTCAAGCAAATAAGGAAGATCAAACTCAAACAGATCTTCAATTTAAATGTCATTTCCTGGGGCTCTCCAGTTGCCTGAGATGCAAAGATAGGAAAAACTGTCCATTCTATCCCATTAAATTCACATATGGTTACCTTGTACCTCCAGGTCTTTGGGTGGTAAACGGCAACACATCTTTCTTTCCCTCCTTTCCCATCGGCTCTCACACATACTGCAGCTACAGCTACAGCTTCTGCTCTCACCTTTGCTGTTGGCAAAGTCTGCAATTTTAAGAGAATAAACTGATACTATTCACTGGACATTTGTTTCCTCAAAATCTTCTTAAACATTGAGAAAAAAACACTCTCATTCCTACATTAAAGATTAAAGTTTAATATCTGGCTGGACTCGGACAAAAATACACTTCATTCAATAATTCACATAGGTATTTTTCCTCTTTAAACTTTTATTAAGCCTACATATCTCTCATGAGAAGGCATGTTGAAGTGCAAGAAAAACGTAGGCACCTTTAAGCACAAAAGGCCATCTGAACAGCCTCAATACTGAACTGTTTTGACACACCCTATGGCAGTAAGAATAGTGAACCATAAAATATTTATTCTGTCCATCGTTGGATGCTCTGACAAGAAGGGCAGCATTCCCCGTGGCACTGTATGGCACAGTGTATGCAGCTAGGTGCCCATCACTAGTCTCTTGGTCAGTGGGAATCCATGGCACCACATCCTTGTTTCCCTCCTTCCCCATTGGTCTGGAGAGGCTGGGGTTGCAGGCAGAGTGTGCTGTGAAGCAGCAGAGACAAACAAATCATATTGGCAGATTTAGGTTTGGTGGAACAAGGTTTGAAAGTGTAAAGTTACAGCTGCCACCTCCTGATGCTTTGCTAAATAAACAGTCATGCATTCCCTCACCTACTTCTGAGGTAGCTCCTTGTTTTTAATTGATAATTAACCATTTTAATGCAAAGGTAGTAGTGAAGGAATAACAGCCCACTATACCTATTTATTTAACCACAGAAGTTCTGCTGCAAGTATTTAAATGCACCAAACTTAGCTCTTGGATCTCCACAAAACGAACAGCTTCTTGCCAGCCTATGCAGCATTGCCAAGTTCTGATACAGAAATGAGGTCACAGCTTTCCTTCCTTCATGGAGCCACTGGAGGGGAGATGTGCCTACATTGAGTTTACTGCAGCCAGGCTGTGAAACAGCAGCACCCAGCCATGCAACCGCAGCATTTCCTGAGGAGGCAACACGTAGCCTTGGGAACAAGGCTGGAAGAATACAGTGGCACCTGACCCACTAAGCAGCATTCAACCCAGCAGTGAAACAAGCTCTAGCAGTTCTGGGTGCTGTACTAGGCTTCACTGTATTGGCAGAGAAGGTCTAGAAACATGCACACATAAAGCAAAGAGAAGAAACAGAAAATTTCCTTTGCTGTCTGATTCCAGTTTGCCTTCAGCCCATCTGCTGGCAGGTCTCAGCTTCCTGCAAACAGAAGGAGAATATACTTCCTGACAGAAGAAGAGGACAGAAACAACAACAAAAGGAACAAAATGAAGCAAGAAGTACCCCTGAGGAACAACTGACTTATGATCAGAAAGGTCCTATGATCAGCACTCAGAGCATCCAGTAGTTGCCTTCTTTGGTCTCCAGGTGTTTTCCAGGTTCGCAGCCCTGGCAGCTGCACAGCTGTGGGACAGAAGGCACTGCTTGCTGGCTCTGCTCCAGGGGGAGCACAAGGGGAGGGAAGAAGCTGATCATTGTCATCTGGTTCACTACCTGATCCCAGAAAAGGACTGCTGCCTTATGCCTAAGTGGAGAAACTTGACTGAGTGATGAACCTTTATAAAGTATTTACAATTGAAAGGAAATGGAGAAATGCAAAAGCTTTCTTGGGAGTAACATGTCAATGGCAGAAAAATGAACAGGCTGAAAATAACTTCGTGTGCTTTCAGCAGACTCTTCCCCACAGAAGTCAAATATTTGCAGTCTGGTTTATACTTTGGTTCATATAGTTGTCCCTTTATCCTTGTTTCTACCTTTATCCTTGTTCTCTTTTAACTTTCTAGTGCTTCTTTCACATGGCACAAACTCTCTTACAACAGAAACGTCTGTAAATGCTAAACTGGTCTCAGCAAAACAGCACAGCCTCCCATGCTGTCCTCCTCCTTTACCCCCAATCAGGAAACCTGAGATACCACTGGGTATCTGCCTGATTAAAGGCTTTTATGTGTAACTGAAAAGCTCTGTGAAAAATGTGTCATCTAGCAAAACCAGTAAAATGTCTTTCAAATGTTTGTACTGCAGAGTTAATGAAAGTGCCACATGTCTTCAGAAATTCCATAGACCTGCTATCATGAGCCACAAGGGTGGAACTAAACTAACCTTTTCTTACTCTTCCAGATTATTAATGTAAAACAGACTTTAATCTTACTGATGTAACCCTATCTAACACCAGCCAATTGGCAGTTGGCACAGCTGGTTGAGAAGCCTGTAAATCCATTCCAGGCATTAATGCAATTTTTTATTTGGTATTTCACAGACATTCTGTTTTGCATTAGATGAAGGAGGAGTTCAGACCTGGAGAAGATTTTCTTGGTAATGCTGTTAAAGGTAACGAAAACATGCTTAATTTATCTTATTTTCACTTCTCATCAGCTTAGTTCTATGCCAAAATTAAACTTCTACATAAAATTATGACTATTTTTCCTTTCCCATGTACTTCAAAATGAGAAGAAATGCCACGATTCTTTGTTTTGCACAAGCTAAGCTGGTTCACTCTGCTGTTCATCACTCACTCTTCCTTTTCTCTTAATAGAGATGAGAAACTTTCTGCATCTGTCACCAGTACATCCTTATGTCTTCACTGAACTGCTGTCCAGACAAACATGACTCTCTTCTCCACAGACCCCAGCTCAAGGCAGGTGTTTGTCCCCAGCCCTAAGCACATGATGCTGGAGGAGATACCCAATAGGGCCTCCCTGCATAGGTAGAAGCTCTGGACAGATCTTAATACTGGGAACCAAAGCTACAAAACTTGAATTTCCCTATCTAGATGTCTTGCTACTGGGTTTCCTTCCTTGTTGAAAGTTTGCCATGTGGTCATCCATCATCTCTGAAGCACAAAATAGGGAGGAGGAATTATGGGAGCTACCACTGATGTTGTCAGTGAATTTGGCAAGAAAAGATTAAAATAAGGCCAAGAAAGTTTGTGGGGCTGTTGGCAGGGTGTGTGCCATGCAAGAAAGTGCACATGAGGCAGAAGCAAGGTTTGGACTATACTGCTTTACAAGAGGTGGGGCAGACGGGCAGCCAGCAGCAGCAGTGTCCAGAGGGCTGCAGAACACTCCTGACCCACTCAGTATCCCTCTTGCAGCAGTCTTGCCACAGAAGCTGCACAGAAATATCCTCTAACATGCTCCTCCTTTCAGCCTTGCAAAAAAAAGCCCAGGTGATCATGTGGGTGTTCCTGCAGTACAACCCTGCCTTCCATCATCTTCACTGTAATTTTTAATTCTTTAGAAGAAAAACACAAGTCAACAGAAAGTGTGAAACAGGACACATTACCCTGCAGATGTGATGCACTGCAATGTGAGTGCCAGGGTCTTCAAAAGCTGGTAAATATCTGATTCCAATGCTGATAGCATGAGGTGAACCTGCGTTCCCCTTGAAAGCACCCTGAACACACATGATGCATTTGAGATGCAGGCAGATAATTTGTATGCCAAGTTTTGATTTAATTTAAGTCAAAATCCCATATAGCTCAGATACACTAATAAAATTTTTCTAGCTTGAGCACTGCAAGATAGGTCCGCATGGATCTGCAATATGAAGAAGTCTAAATGCAATGTGATTATATGGGCAGAAATGTTCGTGGGCTTTTGTAACAATTGATAGCATAGAAATATGTTTCCGTGCTTACTGTACTGTAAATTGAGTTTCATTTTAAATGAGGCAAAAGAAGGAACTTAACTGTTGGCCTATTATTCCATCAATTTGGTTGGGAAATTCAGAGTGCTTCAGAAGAGCAAGCTACCCTGATTGGAAAGGTAGGAGAGCAGAGTGGAAATATGGCTGAGATTGCGCTAGATTGTGTTATGTATAAATTAGTTACAGTGTGGTTAATTGAAAGTGATTCCTTTTAATCTTCCTTTAACAAATCCTCATCACTTTCACCAAGCATTCCCAGGCAGAACTTTTACCTACCACCATGTTAACTGCAACCTGTCTCTTTCAGCAGAGCTGCAGAGCTGGTTCAGGTCTGGCAGAAGCCATAGGTGCGGTGTTACACTCGTTTAAAGACCAGGCAATGCCTACAGAAAGGCAGTGTGACTGAACACACAGCTGAGCATCTGAAGCACTGAGGTAGCCTGCTCTTCTATCCCTGTCTGAACAACAATAAAATTACCATCTGAACAGTCACATCAGCTCCACAATGCAAGTACATCTGCTCTAGCTTGTGCCCTGGAAGCCAAGAGCTAATTTGCTTAATCATTGTACACTCCAGAATAGAACTAAAGCATTACTGCAAAACCTTCTCGCTGTGAAAATTTCACCTACAGATAAAGGAAGGAATCACAGCAGAAAACAGGATCCTTCCAGCGGGGCTCAGAAATGCAGCACAAGCTGGCTTAAATAATAACACCCTGCTCCCAGAAGGAGAGTCTTCCTGGTGCTCAGACAC